AAATCAACTGCCTTCACTTGGAGGTATATTCTGCACTCTTTTTATTTTTGAAGCAAGGTCATTAAATTGCCCAGGCTGGGCCTGAATGTGTGATCCTGCTGCCTCAGCCTCCCAGAAGGCTGGGATTATAGTTGTGTGCCAAAACTCCAGTTGAGATGCATAACTTTTAATTATACTGACTTCTGGTAAGGAAAACTTATTTCTAACCATGTTTATATTTCCAATATAGGTTAAAAAAACTTAGTACTCACACAAATTATACTGGGAAATATACTAGGATTGGTATTGTGATAGACATTTTGAAATTGTACTGTAAAATTAACAAATTTATCAATAACTAAGATCTCCCCAAAATAAATTACCAGAAACCACATAGCCAAACAACTGCTAATCCAGAAAATAGGAAATAGATATGGAAGACATATAATTAGAATTTAGTGAATATGGAACTTACCCATGTGTATTGTGAAGAGCTTATAGTTTAAGAGTGCCAAAGCCCAAGAGTGTTATAAAGGTTTTTCCTCAAACATGATATTAACTACATATTCCACAGATGCTGATTATGTACAGTACTCTGTTTATATCAAAGTGTAAAATGTAATCAAAAGTTTACAGATACAACATTTTCAAAAGTAATACAGGAGCTATTCATGCCTAGAAAAAATTAACTTAAACTTCAATTCTTGGTCCCATTTCAAAAGAATGCAATAATAGCATTAAGCTGCTGATAATAAGTAAAGATTATTACTGAATCTTTATATGAATTGGCTATGATTAAGTCCTTTAGACTGACAACACGCAACCCATAACAGAATTTAACTCAAGTATTTTAACATGCTTTTGTACAAACATATAACCCCCAAGTGATTAAATTATATGAACTAACTCTAATACAAATGAAAACAATACAAAAACTCATAGAAATTAACTTGTAAAACTAGAAATAATGCAAGTGAATGTTTTACTTTGTAAATTAGTATTCACTGACAGGGCCTTAGAGAATTTAATTTACAAGTCCAATACTAATCAATAACTGGTAAATAAAAGACAACCCAAGATGGTAATTATTTGAATTAAAGCAAGAGAAATTCATTCTAAGTGCAAAAGGAGATATATTTCAGAAAATTAATGAAAAACATGGTACAAATCACTCTTACGTTAAGCATTTCATTGTATATTAATATTGCTTAACATAAAATAATAAACTGATTTAACACTGGCTAACAAAAAAATCGTATTAAAATTATCCAGAAGACAATGCATTTAAAATATATTCAAATACAGAATTAATAAGCCAGATATTATGTAACATTTGGGATGTCATGAGTACTTCTTCATTTAAAGATAGTTATCATGAATTTATCTAGAATTAAACTGATTTGGAATGATGTTAATATTACTGCAATTAATATTTTTACACTAATCATTAATTTTAATCTTGTTAAATAAATTTATTGGCTTAATACAGCAAGTATGTTTACACAGGGTATATCTCCCCACTTCTGGAGATTTAAAAATACATATATATATATATATATATATATATTTTTTTTTTTTTTTTTTTTTCAGGCATCCTGAAACCGTGATGCCTGGAACTCACTACATAGTCTAGGTTGGCCTCAAACTAAGAGTGGTCCTCTTCCTCAGCCTCTTGAATGCTGGGATTACAGGGGTGCACCACCACACCCACCTTCAAAATATATATTCTTACAAAACTAGTTTTAAAATATGGAACATTTGCAAACATTTTTTCTTAACAACTATAACCATATTAGAAAGCAGATTAAAATACTTTTTAATGTATCAGGTAACCACTAAAGATTTGCCAAAATTAGAAACCTATATTCAGTATGGGGCATAATTTAGTCTTGCTAAACCCTTTCCCTCTAAATAAACATATTTATGATTTACTCCTCATTCTGTAGCAGTTTTTAGTATTGATTAGAACTTGTCATTGGCTCAATCATTATTGATATTTTTACCAAATTATTTTACAACTTTGATGAAACATTTTACCTCAGAGGAAAATATTTACTTTGTTTGAAAATCAAAATACTGTAAGAGTTTCAATGTGCAAGTATATTTTAGATGATGCAACTATGAATTATGATGTCATCCTTATTAGAGCCATTTTTATTAACTGAAACTGATTATTTCATATATTTACCCTTGATCATAATTTACTCAAGCCACAAATTATATTCTTAAACATTAACTTTAAATGTAAAATTTTACTTTTTTCTCAACAGGAACAGATGGGAGCATCAGCAATCATTTAGATTAATAGCACTTTTATGATATAAAACACAACAAAGTATGTCAATTCATTTCTATGAAATGCAGACCTATAATATTTAGTAAGTTCAAGGACATAAAATCATTGGGCAATATGAACACCTCTAAAAGTTTACCCTTAATTTATATTGTATTCTTAAAAAGCACTGGTCTAAGAGATAGCTATTATATTTCCAGGTACATAAAAGCCCATATTCATTAATATTTTTTATTACTACATATTTGCAGTACATGGTGATTATATTCATTACGGGGAGTCGGTACACGTACGTAACACATCCCAATTTTTTAACCACCTTCCTCAATCTCTTGGTTCTCTTCCCTTTTGCAAAAGCTCTCTCTCTCTAAAGAAACACAGAAAGCCAAAGACGGAGCTTGAAGGATTCATAAAGCACATTAGATTCACCTAGCCATGGTATCCTAATTAAAGAATGGTAAAGACATACAGTGATAATAACACACTTCCAAACATGCACTGAATACTTGTTATATACTAATTTAACTTTCTATGATTTTATACCTCCATTTCACAGATAAAAAACAAAGGCTCAAAGGGGTTAAACTGGTATGTTTCATGTCAAAGCTCATGTTTCTGTTACTTCATGTTTATCCCAAAATTTCTAACAGCCAACAGTAAAAGATACATGAGTGGCACAACTTAGAGTAGTATACTAAGGAGTTAGATTATTTAAGCACTTTGGCCTTCCATGTTCCTTGCACATAGCAATAATAAAACCAAGTAATAAATGAGACGTGTAAAGTCCTTGCACTATAAAATGTAATATAGGCCAAATTGAAAGAATGAGTAATCTCTTCTTCAAAAATAACAAATTATATGTACTTAAAGATAATGTAGGTAAGATCCTATACAAAAACAAAGGGCTAATTGGGCTACGAGGGTTACTGCACATGCTAATAGCACTGCTGATAGGGTTGAAAGAATTAAGCGTAATTATGTTATGTATCTTGGAATTTTATGGCACAGTATGAATCAGGATGTCAGAGAAGCACTATGAACTGCTATGAAGAACAGAAAACTGAAAAGAAATGAATGTTTGATGAAGAAAACTAGGAAACTTGGTGATAAATTACTGTCCTCAAGCCTTGCCATCACTACTGCAATGTAAAGTGCCAGTTCTGTCCAAGCAGCAAATAGGTACAAAGTGGTTAAAAGAAAAGATAAACACGTTCAACATCAATTCTTTTCCCAGTGTTTAAGGCAAATTTTGACTTTAGCAAACAATACTTTGAGGTGTTAAAGGCTTTTTACATTTGAATGTTTTAATTCTTTGAGTGCACAGTAGCAAAAAATACAGAATTTGATTACTGACCTTGTCATTAGTATTTGAGATTTTATATCTACAATTGCACATTTTAATTAGACTAATATGTCCAAATAGCAATTCAATAATATCCTATAATGCTGCCCAATACACATATCACACAAACCTTATTTTCTACCAAGAAGAGTGAAACTGCGTTAAATAATGGTGTCAAGGTTATACCACAAAAACAAAAACAAGCAACATTAGAATAATAAAGCAAACTTCTTCAGTCACAGTTGAAGGCTTCCAGGGAAGAAAAATAGCCAATTTATTTATCAGTAAAAGACTGTGTGTATCATAATAATGTAAATAAAACATTCACTAATTGTTGATTATTTCCTTTGAGATTAAAAAAAGATCTTGCTCTGGTTTCAAACTTTGACTCAGTCAAGATACCTTGCAATTCAAATAATGAATTCACACTTATTGAACATCTACTATGGATATCAATAATATCTTAATTTTCCATATTCTATAGAACTGAGAATAAAACTTTGCAAAAAATATCTGCTAAGAAGCTGCTTAGCACTTCATATAAATTAATGTTGTTATTTAAATATAATGGACTATACCATTATATAGCAAATTCACATTGTTAAAATCACCATTTTTTAATTTGTCTATATATTTTATAAGCTACTGAAAAAAAATGAACACATATGCATACACATGCACATTTTAGGAATGACTGGCTCCTTATTCTGTTGCTGTATAGCATGTTACTGAAGTTATATAGGTAAAGAAAATTAATACATTATGTGTACTGAGAGGGACATCTTGTTACTGACAGACACCTTCCTCTGAAAGTAGAGCAAAAACATGACCACATGAAAAAAAGAAAGAACACACAGGCACATTATGGAAATATATGAGTTGGGGAATGGCTTCATGTATATGAGACCTGGGCTGGGGATACAGCTCCACAAAAAAAAAAAAAAAGAAAAGAAAAAAAGATTATGTATATGAGACCTACAGAAACCTGTACTTTTTGAAATGTTTGATTAAACGATCTGCTGCTGTTACCTTAACATTATTATTAATTTTTTTTCAAAAGGGGCCTTGCATTTTTCTTTTGCATTGGGTTCTGCTGAAAATTACATAGCAAACTCTGCCTGGGTTTGAATTATGACTTCACTGTTTCATATGAGTAAAGTTAGCCTAAGACTTAACTTCTTATAATGAAGGGATAATACTCAGTTGATAAAGCTGGTGGAGTATGATATACCATATATGAAATAATGGGCATAGAGCCAGACACACAGGACCAAAAAGATATGTGAACTACAGTGGAGATGCAATAGTTCCTTCTAGAGATCTGAGACATAAAAACAACCATAAAACATAGTTAGGTATAACCAGAACTAAAGCTGTAGTACTTACAACCCATATATCTGTGGTGCAATTTCTAGTCTGTTCAAGTGCATGTAGAGCTCAATATCATGCTTCTTCAGTAGATGATCCTGGATCTGGTTGACTTTAGTAACAATAGCAATTGTTGGTCCTAAATCCTGTGGTCTAGCAAAGGGGATGGGAGTCATCAGAGTTTCTCTCCCCTATAAACAGGAAAAATGTATTATTTCAATATGAAATGAACAAACACTGTATATGGATATCGCTACCAAATGGAGTTTAAAAAACAACAAAAACTATTTTGTGATTTCATGACAAATGCTTAAAATGAGCACTCTCATACTGATACACAGATGACTACATTCATAAATGAATAGCCAGGAAATGCTTTCTAAAATTGTCACTTGTGCTACCTTGAATATTTTCCATATTTTGGCTAGATGTGGTGGTGGGTGGCCAACACAAACGATCCATGGCTGCCTTACCTGATCAGTCATGGTACATAAATGCAAAACTTTAAAGAAAACTTCTTTGTTGTTGCATATAAACATGAAATATAAACATGAAAAACAGCAAAAGAAAACTGTTTCACTTGGAGTTCTGAAAACTATATTTAAAAAGGCCAAGAAATTAATACAAAAAATGTGATAATTATCTTTCTGTCAATTTAAATAGCTGAGTAAAGTGATTTTAAACTTTCCAGACTAAAAGTACAGCTGACTTAAAAAATAAAATCTGTGCTGGGCTCCACCTACAACTTACTTTCTGGCTATACACTATCTACAATTAAGAGACATATCACTAACTCCTATAATGCTTTCGTGTGAACTTCCAGTTGTCATGTACTCCCTCAAGTCTGATCACTTTCCCTATTATACCCCTCCTTTTTTCTAATGTTCAGTCCTCAATTTCTACCTCTTAATACTACCATTGTTCTTTGTGATTTTCAGTCTACTGTAAATTTGCAGATTACAAACCTAGGACAAATTCTTCCTATTTTTTAAAAGTTGCTCTTTCATACAGCACTAGTATTCATTTTATTCTCTATATGTTATCATTAGTGACTTCATTCATGCACACTGCACTTGAGGGTAGTACACTAGGATAGTATACAAGAATTTTATAATTAAATACCAATATTGCATGAATCATATAAACTTCATATAAAGGAAATTTCTACTCATATGAAATCTTTTTGTCTTTTTGAGACAGGGTCTTGCTATGTAGTTCAGGCTGGCATTGAGCTCACTTTGTAGCCCAGGGTGGTCTTGAACTTGAAACGATCCTCTTGCCTCAGAGTCCCACATGCTGGGATTACAGGCATGCGCCACACCGGCTCATATGAAATCTTTACACTGTCTGCATTCAGTCAATAAGAGATACATTTTAAACACCAGCTTCCTTGTAATTCCATTAGTATTTTCGTTATAGTAGTTAAATGTATTGAAATAAAATGATTATGTAATAGTCTATGTTGCTTACTCAAATTATTTATTCACTCAAATACTGTATACTGAGAAAAATCTGTAAGATTTACCTTTTGACTATCATGTTCAAAAGTAGAAAACCAAGGTTCAGCAGTTTCCATAAGCTGTGAGAACATCGCACTAAAAAGTAGAAAAATATACACAGTGTAATGTTTAATCTGCATGAAAGCATGACCATATAAAAAGAAAAATATAAATAGTTTCTGCACTTACTAGGCATCGTGTTCCAGATATTCAGGGTTCAGGAGAGTTTTCATTTCCTCACTTTTAAAAAAGCAATACAAGCAATCAAAATGGGTAATCTTTTAACAACTGAAGTGGATGCATAGTTTCCCTTATTCTACCTTCATAAGACCATTCTCATATAATGTACAAATGAAAATATTAACTTTTTAAATAAAAGTAGCAACTCCATCAACAAATGAAACTTTTTTCATTAATAAAGATCAAAAATTAGCTACCTTGTATCACAATAAAGTAATTATTAAAAATAACAAATACAGAATGTGAAAGTATTTTATTTGACTATGTTTGATCTAAAATAATTTATTACTCCACAGTCTATCACTTGTCATATAAAACAAAAGAAATATATATATATAAATATATAAATATATTGATGGATTATGCAATATTGAAACATTGTCTTTTAATGGCTTTTATTTTTACTTTATCTTGAATTAATAAGTGATAGAACCTTTTACAAATCTATCTTAGTGTTGCTTTTACTTTATAATGGATTGAAATAGATGAAGAAGCATGTCTTACTCATTTTAAAACTATGTTCAATCATCTATACTTTCCTGTAAAGTACATTCTGCATGCACCTGTCTTGAAAAATAAAACTGGGACAAAATCATGATCCAACACTAACTTCACCCTTATTATATAGAATAACTGACGTGATGGCAATTACAACATAGTTATTCTTGTCAGGATCCAATAAAGTCAATAAAATGAAAAAAACTTAAAACTTTAGTACAGGCCTGTATATATGCTTATCAAAAAGGCAGTGTAATATTAAAAAGATTATACAGTTAAGACATGTGAGACACTATCTTCCAATAGTTTGTTTTCTGCATATGGGTGGATGAGCCAGTGCAACACTGAACAAAGAAATGGCTTATAATCCTGCAGTTCTCCACTCCCAAAAATGTTTCTTGCTTACTTCGCTGGCCAATCAGATAAAGTTTCTTCTTACTTTGAAAATGAATTTCAACAAGTACATAAGTTAAGTCCAATTATATAAGGCACTTTCAGGAAAGCATAACTGAGTTTGTTTAAAAAACATGAGAAACCATTTTATTTATAGACTGAAGTTCTTTGTAACAGTCTTTATTGATGAACTAAGCTGAATCAAAGCTGGTAAGGGAGAAATTATCTCATAAAGTTCTCAATTCTGCTTATAGTGAAAAGTGAAAGACTAGAGGATAATATACAGTACATAAATCTTATTAATCATTAGTACTTTTGATATTGCAGAAAATATTTTCTTTCCTTGACCTATTGTATATCTCTTTCCTTGATATGGATCTAAGAGTTCCAAATATATGATTTCAAATTTGCCCCAAAGCCAAACTGGCATTAGAACTATTAAGTGGAATTAACAAATAGTCACATGAAACAAGATCAAATGTTTAGAACTTTTAAAACACCTTCAATTTAAAAATTTTTGAGACTGAAAAAAGGAAAAACACAGCACACTCAGGACTGAAAAAATAGATGGAACTCATGCACACTTGCCTGGGCTGTGCAGACTCACTGGCATGTAGAAAAGCTTGGTGGTCACAATGAAGGATAAAGACTATAGGTGCTAGTAGCTCATGCATTCCCTGAAACACAACATCAAGAGAAATGAGAACAGGAGAAATATGGAGGATCCACTAATAGACAATATAGGTTAACTTAAATGCCTTTTTCAATGGATTCCTATCACTAGGATTCCATATTATACACAACAATGTAAAAATGAGATTTTATCTTTTAGAATTCGATTCCAATTCAACCACAGCACATATTCTTTAAAATGTGGAGAGAAGCTCTTTTTTAAATGACATGACAAACAATAAATTGGCATGGCAGACAACCTTGCACCTGTCAGTTGCTCAAGATCTGTACTCATAAATATGAATTTCATTTATGCAAATTATAATCACAAGCTACAGTGTAAGATCTGCACTGAAGAAGGGCAACTAAGAACTGTAGACCTCAGGAAATTACATCCAATGTGTTCATTATGTAATGGCTCCAAATTAGGATGTCTGTAGATTTTGGAAGAGCTAAAGTCAGCTAGCTAGGAATGTTGGATAATAAAAGAAATAATATTTAGCAGACAGTGACAAAAAACAAAGTTTTTCAAATGGAATTTTCAACATGTTTAATCATAAAACTCATTTTTCCTGCCTCCTCCAATTACAGGTTAATTTTCAATTTATTTAATAAGCATATCAATACAGTGTTTTCCCTTATATTGGGGTTCAAATATGGATTACACAATTAGGCACAGAAACAAAATGTAAAACTGTTAGTTACTGAGCTATCTTTAAAAAATTTCTTCCAAAAATCTATTATTTACTCATTTTGTGGGGACACAAGGCCTTACACAACAATGAATAGCCTTGTAAATTTAGATTTTTTCCCCTTTAAGCATAAAATACCATACTGTAGCAAGTAAACATAGATTACATCTTTTGCTGCCTCTTAATGTGAGCAAATTACCATTTTCCTTTTGCTTAGTAACTAAGGATGCTCTTTCATAAAAAAAGAAGAGAAAATATCACCTTCTGAGCAAATAAAAAAATAAATATGGGAGCAAAAAGGAGAGAACTCTTCTGTGGGTCTAATTAGAGGAGGCTTCATATAATGGAAGGACAAACTCCATAATTCTTTATGCAATCTAGTAGTATTATGCTAGTCTTAGGAAGTCAGTTGATAACACATACATAATGTGAAATTAAGCTTTATCAAACTTCAGCTGTAAGTTATGCTGAAGTAGAATGACTTAATAGCATTTTTACAAATAGCTTATGATCCACTGATAATCTGCTTGTGATTTTGAATAAAATACCATACATTTCAATTTCTTTACGTAACCATTTCTTCATATAACAAACCTTGAAAAAAATGTTCCTGACAAGATGGCAGACACCCAGAAAAGATGAAATCAAGTGTGCTGTATTTTGAAAATTATCAAAAGAGGTTTATTTTCTTGGAAAAAATTTCAAGTTATCATAAAAGGAAAACACCATAATTTCAACAATCATGGCAATAGCTACTTAATGTAGGAAACAAGAGGAAGGAAACAAAGAATCAAGGCAGGCAGGAAGGCAGGCCAAAAGCCAAGTGAGAGAAAAACTTTAAATTCTAGGCTGAGGCAGGAGGATCCTGAGTTTACAGCCATTCTGACAACTTGGCAACACCCTGTCTAAAAGCAAACTAAGCATCGTGAGATGTAGTGCAGTAGTAAAGTGCTGGCCTAGTGTATGTGAAGCCTTGGGTTCAAAGCTCTAGTATTACAAAACAAAAATCAAAAAAGGACCACCACCAAAACACTAACAGACATCCTCACCGTAATCTTTTTGGCTGTTTCTGATGGTTTCCTTAGAATGAAGTCCCCACAGAGAATTTCTGGGGAAAGTACATTTGTTAGTCTGAGATGTGTACCAATATGTTGCCCACTAGAAAGAATTCACTCAATTGTAGAATATAAAATCACCACCTCACACATCCTCATCTATATTCATAGTATTTTTAATAAAAATCTTGTTAAATTCACAAACTGTAATGAATTATACAAGTGTTAGTGACACTGAACTAAAAAATTTTATTGCGAGTTTTTATTTCAGGAGTTGCCATTTCATCCTAATGAAATATTTCTTTTTTCCTAGAATTTTCAACAGATTTTTTTGAATTAGATACATTAATACTTTGTCATTTTTGTTGTTTTTTCCTCTATTTATTATTTTTCTTTCAATTCTGATAAATCATTCTCAAGTTATACACTTGAATAACCAATGCAATTTCCCTCCTTTTCTTCTTTATCTTTTTCCTTCTTTTCTTCCTTCTGCTATTGTGACTGAAAAAGATTTCTCTTTTATTGATAGAATAATATAGGTAGGACTATAGTTTCTTTTTTGGTTAATTTTTTCCTTCACTTGATTTTAATTTTTGCCATGAAGAATATACAAAATACAATAGCTAGTTTATTGAATAATCACGCATCTTCAATAAATGCAATCTATTCAATGATAAAATGAGAACACAAATGATTATACAATTATAAACCATGATAAGTGGTATGTATGTGTATGTATATTACACACACAAACATGGGTTCTGAATTGATGAATTTGACGATGGATCAACAATATTAGAAAAATAAGGCCAGGGACATAGCTGGCACAGTGCCTGCCTGGCAAGCACAAGGTCCTGAGTTTGATTCCTGGTACCATAAAAAAAAAAAAAAAAAAGAAAGAAAAATAACTGAAAAAAGTGTATACTAAAACACTAAATATACAGATTTTCTTTCCTGTCACTAGTCCTAAATAATACAGTTTAAAAATACTCTACATAGCATTTATATTGTATCAAGTACTGTAAGTGATGTAAATTATTATTTAAAGTACATAGGAGGATGTACATAGGTTGTATGTAAACAATATGTCACTTTATACAAAGGAGTTGAACAACTAAGTATTTTGAAATACATAGGGGGATCCTGGAATGGTTCCTTCAAGGACACTGAGGAACAACTGTATAGATGAACCAAAATCTTACTATCAGCCTAGCACAAAAAAGGATTTCATTATACTATTGACTAATTCAATACAATATCTACCACTTAACATACTGACACATTGAAAAGGTTGAAATATAATATGAAAAAAGAATCATATACCATATTTCAAATCAATAGAGGACACTTTTGTGGAAAAAAAAACTAAGACCTCTCAAACACTATTAAAACAACCTTTTACAAATTCAGTTTTGAGTTTCACTTAAATGGTAACTTTCTTGATACTTTTAAGAGGATGAAAGAGACCTAAATCTGTTTTTGCTCGAAATTCTAGACTAGTAAAATCTGATTAGTCATCAATTACAAGGAAGAATATAGTTGATTTAAAGTATTTGCCTAGCCTGTGTGGGGCCCTGACTTAGATACTCAGCGCTAGAAAAAGCAAAAAATTATAGTTAGCAAATAGATACCTTTAAAAGACAAGTGATACATCCAGAAAATATATTCATGAGTTCAACAGCCTATGAATTTGACAAGACACAAATATATATATTTTTAGTATACTTGGTTCCCAAAATGTACATGTTGTTTCTGTCTATCTTGTCAACATTTCTGCTTGCTGAAATCCTTCATCCCTGCTAGCTCGTTAGTAGTCACTGCACTCAAACTCACGCCAATTGAAAATAAAGGTAACAAAGTTTTCTTCATCAACAGCCTGTAGGCTCACAAAATTGAACCTGTTCTTTTATCTGCCTGTGCTCATTTAGCCCACCAAGCAGTCTTTATTAAAGCTGAGGCATCAGGCAGTCAAAGTTCATTAATACCATTTATATAATCTCTGCAGTTTCAATTAACTCAGCAAGACATTCTACTACATGATAACAGTCTCATTAATTCAATAAAATCCCACAACTATTAACAATATGGTCGATGTTAAACGGGGTGTCACCTAGTACAAAATAATAGCTTTAACAGCTTGTGATGAAACTCAAGGTTTTTTCTCAAATTTAATATGGCTAAATATTCAGTCCTTCTACAGCATGGTATTATTTCTTTGTAAAGAATCTATAGGATTTTAAACATAACGGAGTGATTAAGTCTTTTTAAGTGAAATCCAGTAGTAAGCTAACACCACTTTTTATTCAGTAATTGATAGGCTTTGTCTAAATTATCAACAATTTGATCTTCCATATTCCTGCCTAACCTTTCATATAAAAACATGGTGGTTCACATACATCACAAATGACATGGTGAGATCTTATCTTTTTCCTTGTCCAAAAGAACTTGTTTCTGTTATTATAAGACTTCCTTGATCTATTTATTTTTCTTTCTCTAAAGAAAAATAGGAAACAAAGTTTGACTTGGGAAACTTAATCCTGATTTAACTTCCTATCATTACCAATCTTTTCCTGTGAGGAATTTTCCAATATTTGCAAGAGGAGCAGGGAGAATAAGGGATAGACATAAGAACATGAGCCAACACAATGATAAATATTCTGAGCTATTGAAATAACTAATGATGCAGAATCATTTACCCCTGGACTGCGTGCTATGTGCGTTATTAACACCCTATAGTTCAAGCCATTTAGAAAGGTGTCTTCTGTTATTTACAGATATCCCCCACCAATCTTCTTTTTCATTTGCTTTTGGTCTTCTGATTTGTATATGCTTTTCAGATAGCCTATTTTACATGCAAAGGCATTTTCTCCCTTGAGATTATGCAAATATTTTCCTAAATCTTTTTCTACTATTTTTATATACTTCTTATTTTCACAGTTATATCATTAGTCCATCTGAAATTTATTCTCCAATAATGGTATAATTTAGTATTTTTCCTAGTTAGAAAATCAATCTTAGCAAGTAAACATCCTCTTCTCTATTTTATACAATTAACATCTTATATACAACTGGACCTACTCCTAGATTTCTCCACTGATCCACAAGTCAGTTCTCGTAATACCACTGCATTATTTTGACCTCAGAAATTTCTTCTTTTTCCCTCTGACTGAGCTCATGACCAGGATGTTATACATGCCAAGCATGCACCCTAAAAACTATAACAAAGAAAAACCCAAACCACACCTAACAAAAAACCCTCTCAATCCCGGATCATAGAACTTCTATAGAAGTTTTAGACAAATTTTGGGGAGGATGTGGAGAAAGGGAATTTTTATGTGCTACTGATAGGACTACAAATTAGTAAAGCCATTACCGAAAACTATATGGTAAATACTCCAAAAATTACAAATCAATATACCATATAATGCAGCAATCCTGGTTCTGGTTACATATCCAAAGGGAATCAACTCAGTGTGTTGGGGAGACCTCTGCAATCCCATGTTCATTGCTACATATTTACAATAACCAAGAAGTAGAAACCAAGGAGGAGAAATCAACTCAGTATGTTGGAGAAACATCTGCAATCCCATGTTCACTGTTACATATTCACAATAACCAAGAAGTAGAAACATCAACAGATGAACAGATAAAGCAAGTGTGATATGTGTAGCAAATGGAATACCATTCAGCCATAAAAAAATAGACGGAACTGGGGGTCATTATGTTAAGTGAAATACGCCACAAGGAAATTAAAAGTGTTTCACCAGGAAAAAATAATCTTAATATTTGGTAGGCACTAAATTTAAAGTAACTATGTCCAGTTTTCAAAAAACACATGTTTAGATTAGCACTAGATTAATACATTTCTATGTATTTATTTGCAGAGGAGCAATACTGGTACTAAAACCATGTCATTATTTTTGTATTTATTCAATTCTTGCTTTATATCCTTAGACAACATTTAAAATGTTCTTCAGCTAGCTTTCACATGTTTACAGTCAAGTTTATCTGCAGACATTTTATACTTTGTCATTAGGAGTTAGATCATATTTTTATATACTGAACAATTTACATTTCAAAAAACTCAAAGCAATCCAACAGTCTGCTTTGGTAGTGAGGCAAGTCAAATAACAGAAGCAAGAAGTAATTTTCAAAATATGTCAACTTCTTTTAAAAAATTAATTTTGTGGCAGTGGGGATAGAATTCAGGAGTGTTCTACTTCTAAGCTATAATCCCTAGCCCTCTTTAATTTTTTTCAAAAGGTCTTGCTAAGTTGCCCAGGCTTAGGATCCTCTTGCATTGCTGGGATTATGGGCTTGTGCTACCATGCCCAGAAAAAGAAAAGAAAAAAAAAAAAAAAAGAAAGAAAGAAAGAAAGAAAGAAAGAAAGAAAGAAAGAAAGAAAGAAACTTCTGAAGTTCTATTATAGTAAGTTTTGAAGAGTACTTGATGATTTTTTTGCATGACATATCACATATTTATAAATGCTGCACTTAGAAACAATATTTATATATGCAAGTCTGAAAAGTTTATTACTAGACTCGTTGCAAAGATGCTACCTATAAAACAACCACAAGTTGAAAAAAGACTAAACATGATACAGAAGACAATTTGGGAGAACATCTTATAATAAGGTAGAAGCATATGTGCTTCAGTGAGCTTTCTTTTCTAACCACACAGCTGACAAGCAGCACTTGGATACCTTCAGCATTATGATACAACTCTGGATACAATAAAGGTTGCATTATTGCTTTATCATTTGTCAAGCTGTATAGAAAAGTTTAAGCCAATGGATGCCACCTGTAAGGTATTTTCATTACCTGTTTATAAAGTAACTGCTCATTTTCTCTAGCATAACAGAAAAGAACATCTGTAAGAATTTTTCTCACATTTTCTTGTTGGAAAAACTGCATTTCAGGAAACCTGAAAAGAGAAAACACAGAGTTAAAACCGACTAGAACAGTTTTAAGAATCATCCTCAAACTCTCATCTCTACCCAGGGCTGCTTTGGGTTTTATAACTATTTGCCATGTAACTAATACCAATAGTGGGTTTTTAAAAATGGGTGACATAGGAAAATTATTATATCCCAGAGCTAAATAACATCCTTCAGCATCTAGACATTTCAAATTTTTTCACACATATAAAAGTCTCTGTACATGTGAATACAGCAGTTTCACAAATTAATAATAGCCTACCTATTTGGGGACAGTTTTTTTTTTAAACTAAAATGTAATTTTGTATATATGCCAACTTTTTCAAGAAATCATTGTCATTTTTCTCTTGATGAAAATAACTGTGATTTAAATTATGCATGACCACAGTCAGTTTTATCAGATTAACCTCAAATAGAAGAAAACTTAGCATTGCTTAAATGCTGTTTAAATAAAAAATCCTACCATTTTTGTAAGTGCTCTGAGGTAAATGTGTAACAAAAAAAGCACAGAGAAAAAAGTTATAAGAATATAAAAGAATACAAAGAATATAAAACTCCAAGAACTCAAAAAGATGCAATACACACAATGATGTAATACAGCAGGGCTAAATATACAAGGCCTGTTGTCTAGAGTAAACAGTTTTGTTAGGACAAAAAATATTTGAAAAAGAATTCTGGGAATTTGAGAAACACGCAACAGAGTGGAAAGGTCACTAAATCAGAAGGAAAGCTGTGATGGTATAAAAGACAGTGAATATTTCAACTGTGCAGCAATGCAGAGGATTAATAATCAGAAAGAAAAGAGAATTCCAGGAAGTGCTGCCAGTTGGGCACAAGGCAGTGTAGCAAAAGAAAAGATGGAGCTGATCTGTGAAGAGCTCTGAATGCTGAATTTACAGCCAAGGAAACAATTCAGTGTTTCTAAACTTTTGGACAGGGAAGTGATAAACAAGAGTCTAGGGGTCTAAGTAGAAATAAGTCTGACTGTGGAAAGTTCACAAAAAGGATATACAATAAAATGAAGGGAAGTGAAAAATTCACAGACCTGAGGAGAAAAGCCTGTGTTCAAATTCATGTTGCATTATACCAGCTACGTAACCTTGGGCGAGAGACTATAAACTGCCTCATCTACTAAATACGGATAATGGTACTGATTTTGTGATCAAGATGAAATCAAATGAAGACACCAAGAACAATATCTACAAAGTAGTGGATGTTAAGGAATACAAGTTATTATCAAGTACCGAGTAATAGTACTTTAGGTGATGAAAAGGTAAATTAGGTGCCTCCAGAATTTAAAAAAAAAGAGAGAGAAAATATGAAAAAATGGAGAAGACTACCTAGAGCATGAAGCCATGTGGCATTACTGAAACAGAAAAATATTCCTCAGTGGAGTCCTTTAGAAAGGAATAATACCCGTTTCACTTCCTATTATAATGGCTACCTGCCTTATCCTTCTGGAAATCTTACGTGCTTTATGCTTCATTCTGGTGTTGGGTTGGCTCTCTATGAGTTTTAACTTTCGCTATCCAAGGCTATATTTCTGAGTAAAACATGCTAGAAACTGATGACACATATCTTCTCCAAAACTAATTTTTAAAATGAATCAAGTTCAATTTTATTTTCACTTGTTCATTTAACTTTTGTTTGAAATTCACTTTCGTGTGCAACTGTCCTCAGACACACAATTTTTGAATTTTTAGCAGTAGCAAGGGAGCCTCTTTGGGGAGCCAGTAAACAATCTACAGACTTGAGCAAGGTGACGCCACATCTTTGTATCACCCTTAATGCAGTGACCATCCAGACACACCGTATGCAGGCGCACAAGTTCAGGTAAAGGTGCACAAGTGCCTTCTCCAAAAAAAAGGGCAAAATTAACTTGAAGGTAGATTCAGAGTATACCCAATACATCATAGAAATCAAAGAAATTCCAGAAATACACTAAAATAGGAAAGATACACACATAAATACATTAAATGACTTGTTTGGGATAAAAGAAATTTGCCAAAACCTTAGAAAGTCAAATACGCGAAATTAAAACAATCAGAATGAAAGACAGATAAGTGGCTGATAAATTGATATATATAAACTTGGGGGAAGGGCAACTCAACCACTAAGGTAACAATATAATAATACTTTTGAGAAATGAAATTTCTCCCCTTCTTTATTATATGACCTAAATGTATCCTTCTCTCTAGGCAGAGTTCATGACCAAAGATTTGGATCACCTGACCTACCAGATACATTTGAAAATTTTCTCTGTAAACTGACAACAAAATACAATTTAGCCTTTGTGACATGAATGGATCACAACAGAAAGTTTTGCAAACTGATTTACTTGGGAACAAATATCCATGAACTATATGGTAAGAGTTTACCACCTAAATACTAAAAATGTAAATTATATACTGATACACACTTTCATTTAAATGCATACTAACCACTTGCAAAATTAAAAACTAGAGATCTACAAAAATTAAATTACACATAATTTAAATTGCCCACTTTTAGCAAATACCCAATCAACTGAAAATGTATATGAGACAGACATAACATATCCATGCAAGCACACAACATCTACAATTCTACTCTACAATACTGAAGTGCCAATTTAGGAAATTTCATGATTCTCTTTTAAGGAAAATATGACTTGTTTTCTAAATTCTGATGAAGATTCCACAACATCAAATATGTAAGATAGGAAGATGCTGAACAGCTCCGAAAAAGAACTTTTTTATTTGAAACAATAATGAAAAACACAGACTACTATACTGATCCAATGTGGATCATAATTGTTGAGATTTTAAAAAATCAATATTCAAAAATTTCCTGCCCAAAAATACTTTAAAAAGATTTAAAACTTCAAGAAACACAAGAAAAAAAAATCAGAATTAAAACTAGAAGCTCATGTTTCATTCAAACCAAGATATGCAACACAAAATAAAAGGAAAAACATTACACTAGCTCTGGACTCTAAACAAATTTGGTTATAATCAGAAATAAATCAAGAAAAGATATTTTTGCACTTCACCAGAAGATGAAAATGAGACTGAAGTGATGATAGGACTCAGAACATAGAGGATAGCAAAAGGACATATTTCATGATGACACTTAGAGCCCCTTCCCCCCCAAATCTAAGATTTTTACTTGATGGAAAATTTATTTTAGGTTTACCTCTATTGATCAGTAGTTTCTTAGATATGCAAAGGAATTAAAGAAACATGATACAGTACAGAATAATATAAATTACCAAAATCCCACAGTGCTTCTCCATTAGCATACTTTTGTTTTTTTTTTTTTTTTTGGTTTTTCTCCGGTACCGGGAACCGAACTCACAACCTTGCGCTTGCCAGGCAGGCGCTTTGCCGCTGAGCTAAATCCCCAGCCCCTCCATTAGCATACTTTTGAAGAAGAAAAGTCACATTTACATTAGTTACAAAAACTACTTAGAGCTTAATGCAGGGTGTCCTGTAAGTTTCCTAAAAAATGGAGTGTTATGTGGGTGCATAACACCACCACTTATTTTTTGTGAGTATTTCTATTGATGAATTATTTAATTTTATGATTTTATTATATCATCGAGTATGTACTTAAAAGGAAAATATTAAATTTTATTATGCAATGAGTGTTTAGAATAAACATCAACATTTTCAATATCAAGTTTATTTCCTTACAAGATCAAAGAGAAATAAATTATTATGTGAACTACAATGAAAAGACAATTAAAATCCTACCAAAAATTATCTTTACTTCAATCATCACACCTCCTGCAGTCTTCACACATGAAAACAGCATGTTCCATACACAAGTATTGCTTACACTGATAGCACATGTGTTTTGCTTTTCTGTCTTTTTTGGCAGGACATATTTGTCATCTCTCTGGTCTTCCTGTTTTGTCAGGAGGTTCTTATTATACAATGTGTACTTCAAATAAAATATCAATGAAATAAAATTTAAACATGTATTGAGTGTAGAGAATACACATCAGCATTTCAACTGTTTGTTTACTTACTAAATCTAGAAAGTAACATCAGAAATAAATTCCTTTGTGAACTACAAGGAGAATACAAATACAACTGTACTGCAAAAATAATCTTACTTCAATGACCACACATAAGGCAGTTGTCTCACATGCAAACAGCATGTTCCACACACTTGTAATGCTTACACTGATAGCACATGTGTGTTTCTTTCCTTGTTTTCTCTGGTATGACATTCTTGACATGTTGGTGGTCTTCCTGTTTTCTTAGGAGGTTCTTGTGATGCTTCCCCTGTTGTTTACTGGTCTGCTCCAGAATTCCTTTGCAGGGTACTTTGGGCAGATATATATTGCTCTTTTTCTGTTGTAATTGATCATTTATCAATTTTGGTCTCAATCCTCTATGAAAATTTCTCCATGATATTTTGTGCTTGTTATTATCTTTGTGAACTATGAAACTATGTATGACTGACATGTTTAGGATCCAGTACAACACAACCACTGGCCAACGCTGTTTCAAGTAACATCATAGTTGTTGCATAATTTGTCAAGAACATCTACCCCATCTTTTGTTTTGTTGTAAAATGTGACCATTGCTGGCTTTATTTTGAGGATTCACTATTAATCCTTTTTCTTTTGAGACAAGGTCTTGCTGTGTAGTCCAGGCTAGCCTTGACTCACTATGTAGTACCAGATGACTTTAAACTCACAAGATCTTCCTGCCTTGGCCTCCAGAGTGCAAAGATTACAGGCATGCACCACCATGCCCAGCTTTGCTGTCAATATTAACATCATGGTGTAATACTGACTGTACCAATACTACTTTGTTTTTCTTTGCCATATAGAAGGCCAATATTATGTCTTTCTGAAATCCCAAGACTCTACTATACATTTCTCTATTGTGAACTTCTAACATTTTCTTAGGAATCTCTGCTTTGTTCTTGCAAGTAGTTCCTGTGCTGGTCAACTGGTGCTCATTTAGCAAGTGTAACATGAATAGGTAACTAG